TTTTTTTTTTTAGGGGAAAACAGGATAAGTAAGCAAGAATTTGGGTGCCAGCGAGAGATCCTTCCCTTTGCTGTGGATTTCTCCAGCCCCTGCTTTGCAACTCATCTCGGGGAAGGCAGAACACCTTGTTCCCAACTTGCAAAATCCTCCTGTGACGCACTGCCCCGCCAACAGACTTTCTCGTGGTTTTTTAGCGTCGCTTGTCAGCGCTTGCTATTTGCAGCCCATAGCCCCTTTTCCCCCAAGACAGCAGATTTATCGCTGGGGATGTGAAAAATGAAGAAGGTGGCTGGGATGCTTGATGGGTGAGCTGGGGCCTTGGCAGCATGGATGGGGCCAGAGGGGTGTCTTGCCCACATAAAGCACGGTGCTGGCTCTGTCCCAGGGGCACAAAAAACCTGGCAGTGATTAAAAAAAAATCCAACACCCCCTGTAAATGCATTTTTCAGGATCTAAAAAGCGCCTCCGGCGATGCCGTGAGCTGCACCGCCCCAGCAGGTATTCCTTCCCTGGCTCTCCCTTCCCTCCCCTGGTTCCCCCAGGGCTGGGTGTCTCCCAGCCATAAGGACGATGTCCCCATGATGTCCCCACTGTCACCTGGCATGAAGGATGGGATTTGGGGAAGAGCCACGCGTTTCATCTCCTCTCAGTGCTGTAGGAACTGGTCCTCAGGCTGCTGGTGTTGAGCATCTCACAAGCGAAGGAGATGTTTGGAAGCACCCACCCCATCCCTAAGGTGCCCCGTTGTGCCCATCACCCTGGCTTCTAGGCCTGGCGGTACCAATGGAACTGCTGACAGGACCCCAAGGCCGAGCAGGACATGGTCAGACCCAACGGGAGCTCCGTGTGTCTCCTATGCTTAAAACCATCCAAAATCGGTGCTTCCACCATCAGGGACCTCATCAGGGCATCCTGGAGCGGCTGGATGTCACCGCCTGAGCCCACGCTGTCTCTGGAGCCACCACTAGCCTTTTGGGGAGCTGCTTATTTTTTTCCCCTCAGAGCTTTATTGTGGATCAGTTTTGGCCGGCCACCTTGTCCCATGGGTGCTATCCAGGCACGGGGTGGTGCGACGGAGCAGGGCTCCTCCATCCCTCCCTGGAGCCGGGTGGGCACCCACAGACCCAGCTGGATTTCTCCAAATCTAAATATTTTGCGCCCTCTCCTGGGTCCAGGCGGTGTGGCCTGGTGTCTCCCACCCTGCCACCTTCTTTTTGTCTGGGAAGAGGGGGACACCAGGCTGGGACTGTCCCACCAGCCACCGCCCCCCCCAGCATTTTGCCCTTCCATTGCAGGACCCCAAAAATACATCGGAGGAGATTTTGGTGTGGATGAGCTCCGGCCAAGGGAAAGCCCGGGGCTGGCTTTGCCTCCTCCATCCCATTCTGTGCCCCAGCCCAAAGTCACTGTCACCAAGCATGGTCCTCCCCACAGGGACATGGCCACCACTCCTGCAAAACCAGGTGGTTTGAGCTAATGCCGTCGCAGAATCCCTCTCCGTTCCAGCCCGCCGTGACACTAAGATCTTTGAGCATCATCCAAGAGCTGATGACCACGCTGGACACCCTCCTCATCCTCATGAAAATAAGGACCCACACCGGGACCACCAACCCTGGATCCTGCTGAGGTCCTTGGGTGGTCGGGTACCTGAGGAAGATGCCGTGTGCTTGCAGGGAGCGAGGTGGGATGAAGTCATGCACTTGGCTGGGTGCAGGCAGCCAAGCCAGGGGGATGCTCATCCCTGGAGATTTGAAGCAATTTGCTTAAATCAAGTTAGATGTCATTATTATGCACAGCCAACCTGCGAGAAATGCAGCAAAACAGTGATCCCTATATATATATGTATGTATACTATATATACATATATACACTGTATAGACATGTATAGTGTATTCAGGGCAGAGAATATCTGCACTGCATAGCCTGTGCTGGGCTACAAACCTTCCCCTGCTTGGATGTATAACGTGTATGTATATGTAGTGAGTGCATATATGTGTACGTATGCATCTGAAAAAGGCAGGGATGTTTATTCTATACATCCTACATGTTAAAGAAGACTCGCAGAGCGATTAGCGGTATGTCCACCCCGTGTCGTGTAAGCAAATCCCTCCTTGCCAGGAGGGAGCAGCATCCCAATGGAGGCTGCGGGGAGCAAAGCTCAAGCCCCAATGCAGCCTGGGGGTGGTGGAGAGGCCAAGCCAACGGTGAGACATGCAGTGACATGGCCAAGGACACTGAGTAGCTCGGTGGCCTGGGTTTCCTGACACCAGGCATTGTGTCTGGCTGTGCCGGCTCTGATTTTGGTGGATCCTGGTTAGGAGGTGACAGCAGAATGCCAAGGATGCCAGGATGGGCCAGATTTGGGGTGGTGGGCTAAGCAGGGAGCTGGACCCGGATGATGCTGAAGGTCCCCAGGCAGGTGACAGCACTGCTGGCTTGTGTCTCACCCAGCCCATGGTCATCACTTGGGTCGGAAATCCAGCATGGGTGTCCCAGTTGCCCTTATGTCTCCCTTCTCAGTTCCCAGTCTTTCCAGGGATTCTTTCCCACTGTTTTGCAGCTCCAGTGGTACCAGCAGGCCCATGTCTTTTACTGGTGTGGCCCCTTTCTGGGGCTGGGGGTGGTTAGGAATGTCCCAGTATTACCCCAGAAAACGTCTGTGACACTGATCTTGAGCTAGAGAAACGTACGGCCCCATGTTCCCCAGACAGGTATGAGCTGAACTAAACCCTCCCCAGCCTTTGCATGGCCCCATCAGGGAATCTTTAAATGAGAAGGGGGAGAAATTGCCCCCCAGCAGCTCGCCCTGAGCCATGGACCGTGTCCTCCACAGTCCCAGTGTGTTCTCCATGGTCCCACCAGTGGTTTTTATTGCGTCGGTGGCTCAGCCACCAAAGAAACATGGTGCTAAGCTGCTCAAACTGAGCAACTGAGCCAGAGAGAGGACACAGGATCTGTGCCATGATGGGGTTAATACTGCTCTGCTGCAGGTTGGAGATGGGATGAAAGTGTTGAGAACTTGGGAGATGCCATCCTCCTGTCCTCCAGCACGTCCCCAACTGAAGCCATCTCTCCTCCATGGACCTTAAAGCCAAAATTGCTCCATGCCCAGTCCCGGTGACACCAAGGTGGCCCTTGTCCTCACCTAGGAGCCATAGGTAATGCAATGGTCATGCCGCCACTTGGAGCTCATCTTGTCGAGGAGGTAACGGGTGCTCTCGCGAAACTTGCGTTGGGTGAAGTAGAAGAGGATGGGGTCAAGGACGCTGTTCATGCTGGCAAAGGGACGTGTGCATTTATAGGCGATGGCGAACGCCTGTAGAGCCGGGCAGGGCAGGCTGGGTGAGGAACGGACAATCAGGTAGATGGTCTTGGTGAGGTGGAAGGGGAAGAAACTGATGGAGAAGACGATGACCACGATGATGATCATACGCACGGCTTTGTCCTTCCTCTTGTGCACCGCCAAGCCGATCAGCTCATCCTTCTGGCACAGGATCCGGGCCATCCTGCAGTAGCAGGCGAGGATCGCCACGAAGGGCAGCAGGAAGCCGGTGATGGTGAGGGTGATGCCGTAGGGGAAGTAGGCGGCGGAGCGATCCGGTGGGCTCAGGTCGTAGCAGACAGTACGGTTCCTCTGGGTGCCGGTAGAAGCAAAGATGAAGGTGGGCAGGCACTGGGCAATGACGATGAACCACACCACGGCGCACACCAGCCACGTCAGCTTTTTCCCCTTCTTCTTGTGCCACGAGGCCAAGGGGTGGCAGATGCCCAGGTACCGCTGGACGCTGATGCAGGTGAGGAAGAGGATGCTGCTGTGTAGGTTGGTGTAGAACTGGAAGCGGATGAATTTGCAGGTGAAGTCCCCAAAAGGCCAATAATCCTTCTGGGTGTAGTTGTAGATGAGGAGCGGGAGGGAGCAGACGTAGAGCAGGTCAGCCATGGCCAGGTTCAGCATGTAGATCATGGTGCGGCTGAGTGCCTTACGGGCCACCCAGATCTGCCCGATGACCACGGCGTTCAAGGGCAACCCCACTGTGAACACCACCGAGTAGACCAGGGGCAGCAGGACCTGCTTGAACTCCTCATGGAAGGTGCACGAGTTCCTCCTGGAGCCCATGAGGGCAGTCAAGTTGGCCATGGCAGCGGTCCTCCCCGTTGATGTCCTCTCTGCTGGTGTGGCCCCTCGGCAGTGCCTGTGAATGACAAAGGGGACAGTTGGTGACTCGGCCATGTGGTGTCACATCCACCCTAGCAGGATGAACCTGGACCGGTGTGTGTGACCCCATAGCCCCATCCTTCTGGGTCGGGGCAACCCCCGGGATCCATACAGGCTGGGGGATGAAGGGATGGAGAGCAGCCCTGTGGAGAAGGACTTGGGGATGCTGATGGATGAAAAATTGGACATGACCCAGCAATGTGTGTTTGTAGCCCAGAAAGCCAACCGTGTCCTGGGCTGCACCACCAGCAGCGTGGCCAGCAGGTCGAGGGAGGGGATTCTGCCCCTCTGCTCCGATCGGGGGAGACCCCACCTGCAGTTCTGCGTCCAGCTCTGGGGTCCTCAGCACAGGAGAGACAGGGACCTGCTGGAGCGGGTCCAGGGAAGGGACACAAAAATCATCAGAGGGCTGGAACATCTCTGCTGTGAGGAAAGGCTGAGAGAGTTGGGGTTGTTCAGCCTGGAGAAGAGGAGGCTCCAGGGAGACCTTATAGCAGCCTTTTAATACTTAAAGGGGGCCTACAAGAAAGATGGGGACAAACTTTTTCGTAGGGCCTGTAGCAATAGGACAAGGTTTTAAACTAAAAGAGGGGAGATACAGACTAGAAATAAGGAAGAAATATTTTATGCTGAGGGTGGTGAAACCCTGGCCCAGTTTGCCCAGAGAGGTGGTCGATGCCCCATCCCTGGACACATTCAAGGTCAGGTTGGATGGGGCTCTGAGCAGCTTGGTCTGGTTGAAGATGTCCCTGTCCAGGACTAGATGACCTTGAAAGGTCCCTTCCAACGCAAACTGTTCTGTGATTCTGATTCTAAACCACGACGATGGATTTAGGGGTCCATCAGAAAAGTGAAGATGGAGAGAGTGGGACCGTGGGGGGTGGTGGCACACAGGACAGTGCGGTGGCCGTGATCACCACCATCTCAGCTCCGCTTGCCCCGACACTTACACCCCGTAGAAAGGTTTGCACAAGGCCAAACCGCCCTCATCCCGGTGCGGGAGAGGAAATTGCGGCACGGCGTGCCCGTTAGCCGCCGGCATGGCTTCCTGCTCCTCTGCAGGGGGTGCCAAAACCCTACGGCCAGTCGCCCGAGCGGGCTGCGTCCCCCAAGTTTCAGGATATGCCACCTGCACAGGGTCCGGCACGACCCACAGATGTTTTGTGGTTACTTTTCAGGACTGGTGACGCTCTGGTCCTGGAGTTTTTCGGGTTTTGTGGGCTGAGAGAGCCCATCCACGTGGCCTCTGGGCTGCTCTGAGCTGGGCAAGAGGCCACCTGCTTTTCTTAGCGGCTGAGACAAGTGCGAAAGACGTGGTCCTACAGCACAAAGAGAACCCTGACCCCAGCCGCGCCGCTTGGATGGGTCCCTCGCCATGACACCCATGGGTGCTACACGCTCCCAGGTTGCAGCAGCTCGGACACATGGGCAGAGCCACTTCTCCTTTCTCCTCTCGCTTCCTCCATCATCACTGGCGGACCTGTCTGCAACCCTAGCTGGTGGCATGGGGCCAGCGCCCGCTTCCCCCTATGCACCCCCAATGCCTGGCAGGCACGAGCTTACCTGGAAATGGGGTGGCCAGCGTCCCTGTGCCGGTTGGGAAGGGAAACTGAGGCAGGGAGAGGGGTGGCCGAGCTCCAGCCAGACACATGGGGCAGAGGGGATCGGGGGGGGACACGGATGACACAAGTCCAGGGGCCACCTCGTTAGCTCACACCACCGTGGTGGTCCCCATTCAGGTCTTTGGGGATTTACCAGACCCAGAGCACAGCCTGGCCATGGGGTCAGGCTTGGGGAGAGTGCTGGGGACACACACGAGGCTCTCCCATTTTTGGGGGTGCTCCAGGCTTGTAGATCAGTCGTCCCCCCCTGCTCTCCCAGCTGCCGCATATTCCTCCTACCCTCCTGGCACTCCGTTGAGCCCCCCCTGGCACCCCACTGAGCCCCCCTGCACCCTGCTGAGTCCCTCTGGCACCCCATTGTCACCCCAGCCCCAGGCAGTCCCAGCACCCACCTCTGCCACCTCCAAGCCAATATGTGCCCCAGGGTTGTGAACTTCCCTGTCCCCTGGGACCCCCCTAAACCTCCTCCAGGACCCAAGGCTGGGGTAGCGCCCACCCAGCCTCCACCCTGGGCACCCACAGGAGCCTCTGCCATCCCACTCATCCTCGCAGGAATACCACCATGACATTGGGGACGAGGCAAGAGGGGTTCTGGGGGACCTGGGAGCGCGTCTTACCTGCTGGGGTGCCACGGGATGCCACGGGGTGCCAGGCCCTGCCGCTCTGCCCAGCACCTGGGCACATCTGCAGCCCTGGGGTGCTGAGCTCACCCTCTTGAGCAACACTTCCCCTTTCCACCCAATGACAGCACCCCCAGGGCGATGGGGAACAGAAACCTGGGTGGCAGGGTGGGCGCTGCGCCGCATGGCATGGTGCTGTGGGCACCGCATGGCATGGCATGGCATGGCATGGCAGGGTGGGTGCCACAAGACAAGGCACCGAGGGTACCGTGTGGCACTGCACAGCAGGGTGGGCACTGCACTGTGCTGCATGGCGCAGCACTGCACGACGACGCATGGCACTGCGCAGCAGGGTGGGCACTGCACCGCACGGCGCAGCACCGCATGGCACTGCAGGGCGCTGCATGGCCGCGTGGGTATGGCATGGCACGGCACAGCCTGCGCCAGGATCTCCGTCATGGCTCTACACTGCGTGTATAGATCCCTTACGCACATACATGGGCTGCCTGTACACACATGCAGCCTCCCTGCACACACACAGACACGTGTGTGCACACCCCCACAGACATGCCCTACACCTGTGCACAGACACGCACCCCCCGTGCGCACTGCGCCTCCAAAAGAGCCGTACCCGGACACTAGGGGACATCCAGAACTGGCAAATGCCACCAGGGCAGGGGACATGACCCAAACCCGGCTCAGGGATGTCAGGATGTGGCCCGCTGAGGCCACCAGCCATGTCACCAGACCCATGAATTTTGGGGTCTTTTCCCCCATTTTTGGCTCCTTCCTAGGGTGGGCATCTGGGGTAGATGCTGGGCACAGGGAGGTCACCTGGCAAGGTGGCACCAAGAGGAAAAAGATGCTCCAGTTGCCTTGTCCCTTCTGCCACAGCCACACAAGGGAAACTGAGGCACGGGCACTAGGTTTGAAGTTAACCAGTGTGGTTCACGCCCCATTTTAACATATTTTCTCCCCCAAACACCCCTTGGAGGAGTGTTTGTGGGGGGCTAAGGGACATGCCCAAGGCTACAAAGGCCATCGGTGGCGGAGGGTATCCACAGCAAGAGATGATCCAAAAATACAATAAGCAGCCAAAAAACCAAAGGACCCCCCTTCCCCCAAAAAACCTCTTTGTAAGAGGGAAATGGGGCACTGAACCCCAGTGCTGCCAGACTGGGAGGGATAGGGAAACCGGAGGAGAGGAAGAAGAATCCCTTCTGATCCCAGGAAAAAAACCCAGCTGCAGGATGTGCCGAGCACAACCTTTCCATTGGACACCAGAGAATCCCCACCCCAACTGTACCCACTGCCTGCCACGGCCTGCAACCCCACAGCCACAGCCTGCCATTGCCCATAAATCACCGCTATTTCCAGTTAATGAGACCACATCAAGACACTCGTCCTCATCCTACTGCTGTGCCCATGGCACGTCCCCAGGTCATGATCTGGCCTGGTGGATTATCCAAAAAGTCCCTTTTTTTCACCCCAAAAACCCACTGCAGGAATCCCTGCCAGCCCTTGGGATGATGGGGTGGGTGGCCTCCACGCTCAGCCTCCCCTAAAAGCAGACATCCTTGGGATTATGGAGACGTGGTCCTGGTGCCCTGACACCATGGTGATGCGCACCAGGTGAAATCCATTGTCAAATGAGACTTGCAGGGGGAAAAAGGGGTGCACATGGTGTTGGGGTGCTCCGTAGGATGGGGTCACCCTTACCCAGGGGTTTTAATGTGCCTGAGAAGGAGGAACGGGGTTAAGAAAGAGAAGTGCTTTCAAACCATCTCAGGCAAGCCCTTCTCCGGTGAAATTAGCTTTAATTAACACCCTGATATTAATACGAAGGGGGTTTCTGCAGGCTTGCTACACTAGGAAAATATTTTGGCTGCTGGTGCGCTGGAATAGTTTATGGGGGATGGCTTCCTCTTTTGGAAACCTTCCTCCTTGGTTTGTCCTGCCTTGGGAGGAGACCATGGTGGGGACATCTTGGTGACTTGATGGCAGAGCTGGGATGGCGGAGATGGAAGTGAAAGCTCCAGCTCAGCAGATTTCAAAGGGGATGAAGGGGGGATGCTCCTGCCCTGCATGTCGCTTGGCCGAAGCCACAACATTCCTGTCCCCAGACACCTCCTGCCTGGTCCCAAAACATCTTCACGTGCCCATGGATATGTCCCACCTGCCCCAGGGTCGTTGGGGACCAAGGCTTGGATGTTTTAAGGGAAATTTCCATTTGTCGAAGCCCCCAAATGTAATGATGTGGACAAATTGGGCCAGAGTGGCATTTTCAGGTGCTTAACGTGGACCCGTGGGGACAAGGTGCAGGGACGGGCCCTCTGGTGATGGTGCGTGGCTCTGCCACTGATGTACTCTGTCCTTGGGTGACTCCCTTCACCTCCCCATGCTTTGGTGCCCCATCTCTAAAATAAATCAGCATCTCAGGGGTGCTCTGAGCAACCCGGGCAGCGTTTTCGTGCTGGAAACAGGAGGTGCTGCGGGCAGGGAAGGTGCAATGAGTTGGTCTGGTCTTAGCTGGCGGCACTGAGGCTCTGGCTGTATAAACCCATACATATATACACACAAACATAGGCACGCGTACAGCCACATGTTCACTCACATGTACACACATGTGCGTAAACATATATATATATACAAGCATATACACCTCTCCATATAAATATAC